TGCACGTACCTCTTGCAAAGACATCGCGCGTCAGCTGCTCGAGGAGGAGCCCGGCCGTAACATCAATGTACGTAATAATATCCTCGGCGCGTTCGTACCGGCCACGAAAATATACGGCGCTTCTTGTATTTTACGCACGGTCGATAACTATATTTCAAGCGGGCACAGTTTAAGGAGCCCCGATATTTGGCGAGGCGAGAAGAAGGGGCGGGAGACTTCGGGGCGTGCTCCATTTTGATTTACCACCTGCGTGTCGTATATCATCGCGTTGATACGCGATACGCGCTTTCATAATCTCTATTCCGAGTCCAAGTCTTGCTGCCGCAAAACAACTCTCAGTCCTCGCAATTTCCGTCGGGGAATCTTGAGATACGACGTGCTTTCGTTCGATGCTGCAAATTATCGATGCCATTTTCTCCATGTTGAAGTGCCCTTAAAAAGAGGATTGCCTATTTCGAAATCGGTTGATGATCTTAGTGCTCTGCCTGCATTTAATCTTCATTCTTAATTTTGACATGCAATAAAAAAATAATTAAATTGGCGGGCGGATAAAGCAACAAATTTTCTTTCATTCATTTTCTTTACTTACACCACCCTGTATATCTATTCTAGAAGTATATGATATAGCTCTGCCTGCATTTCGACGTCTGCATCCTTCGTCCTGAATTTTCCGTATCTGCTCACGGCTGCGTCGTCATGGCATTCCGAATATTAGCTTGTGGCACTGACGTTCGTGTAGACACGACTTGATCGGGAAAAAATCGATGGGGGTCCGATTAAATATTTTAGAAGGTGAACGCAAATATTTCGCGCAAAACGTAATGTAATGTAAAGACACTCGATCACGCGAGGAAACGAACGGCGCGCAAGAAAGTACCAAAACAAACAAAGCAAGAAATGTAAATATATCCTCTCTCATCAGTCATCGACAATCAGCGGTCGCAATATCTAAACACTCGGGATCGTCGAATGTTTAGTATCTTTCGGGTCGGCGAGCAACACGGACGTTCCGCGGACATGTGTCTCGTTTATCCTCTCTCTCGGGTGATCAACCTCTTGACTGGTAAGTCGAATTTCGTAAAAGTATTTAAGCTAATAGAAATGAATTTTTTAAGATTAAACGTCATTAAAATTTTATGTCTAGGGATTTTCATAGAGGTGTTTTTACGAATATAAAACCAAATTTTTGAAATTCAACATGGTGAGTCCGAGTTTAGCGACTAAAGTCATAATTTTATTTACGCAAATAAAACCACATTTGTCATGAAAAAAAAGTTACATAGTGAAAATACAGAAAATTCTTATCTAAAATTTTACAAAGTAACAAATTACCGAAAAAACTAATAAATATAATTATTACATATAATATAATAAAATATAATAAATATAATAAATATAATAAATATAAAATATAATAAATAATATAATATGATAAAAATAAATATAATTTATAACTTATATAATATACAGATGACACTTTTTATTTTAGTCATCTATACTAGTTTGAGGATCTGCCATTTCGAATTTTTATCTTGAAAATTTATCATTGAATAAAGCGACGTCAAAAAACTTTGAATATCTAATTTTAGAAGTATGAAACAAAAATACCGAAATATTGTATGGCGTTTCGGCCAGTCAAGAGGTTAAACTACTTCGTCTATTCGTGGAATAGTTAATGGGTTCTCGTCGGTACTGCGCGTTATTCAACACATATATCTTTGAATCGTATTTACGCGAGTGTCAGTGTCAATGTCAGTGCCACGATGAAGCAGCCAGGATGCTGGGTGAAGGTAAAGCCAGGACGGAGGATATAGGATGCAAGAACGCGGACAGCGGTATATCATATATTATATCGGTGATATGTCAAATCGTTTTTACAGTGAACTTTCGTTCACAACGGACCGTTGACGAATTTGCCGAAAATAAAAATATACTAGAGTCGAAATTCAGGCCGACATTCGTAGACCATTCACACTGATAATAAAGTAGTCATAGCTTTATGAATCTTTGATTATTCGTCAATCTTTGTATTCGTTGTATTATTTTATGGAAAAAATATTGATTCAAATAACAGAGAGTAACCTCTGCGTGAATACGAATCTGTAATTAATTATGTTCTTAATCAAAAATTTTCAATAATTCATCACTACGAATACGGCCTTAGAATCTTACATAAAGATAATATTTTATATTAGATAATCTTATATTAGAATCTTATATATAATATTTGCAAATTGACTTTTATGTCTAATAATGCTTTTTTGTGCGCGATTTGCTTGAACTCGATTCTGCTTACACGATCTGTCACCGCTTTTTTAAACTTTTATTTAGTCTTATTATTATACGAGACTGAGAATTTTTAATTTAAATAAGTAAATAGCATTGTTAGGTACATAATTGTTATTTTTGCTTCTGCAGCGTCATACCAGTTCTTATAATTCTCATCAAAACTTCCATAAAAAAAAGGAAAGAAACAAATAGAAAGAGATGAGAATGAGACGTTTTCTTTCACGCCCATTCATCCTCACACATTAATCCTTATTATTAAATAATTTAATATCTGCTTGCTTTTCACATATTCTCCACCTGTAATTAAATAAATTATATAATTATTATATAATTATATTATTATATCATATATTGCTGAAATAAAGAATAAAAATTAAATGCAGGCAGAATATTAAAATTTCATTGGGTATTAATAAAATAATTTTTGGGTAGTTAATTTTCTTCGTGCATCTTCAACATGGACAAAACGATAACGAGCGGTCAGCGTCAAGGTAGGCGAATAGTTTGTACAGTGATTCTTCGTTGGTGCTGCAAGTTCGACGGATCTTGCAGGATCAACGTAGAACGAAAATTTAGACTCGGCTTTACGAGACCTTCTCGCGCGCGGATAATTAATAACTGCGGGTGTCCGCAACACATTGTCCGCAACGACATCGCCCCCGGTTAATATCACTTTCGCCGTGAAAACCTTTTACTTGTGCAAGCTGCGCGTGATAAAACTTCGGTTGATGAATCTCCAGAACGGCGTCGAGTGACAGTTATTTACGAACGAACAGGCTTCTCATCCAGAAGCAGATGCGCTCGTGCGCTCTCTCTCTCCCTCTCTCTTTCTTTCTCTCTTTCTCTCCGGTGTTTCTCGTCTCTAATAAAATTCCAAAATAAAATGTCGAGACATTCCGGCGCGCGCGCGTTCGCGACGCCGCGGAAAGTTGAGAGGCGGTGCGACGATCCTGGCGGATGTAAAGCTCGTCCGATAGGAACTCCTGCGTTCGCCGGATGACGTATAGGTTTTTTGCAGTTATGATTCTCCCCTGCATACGAGTGGACGTAAAACCTGTATCACGGCTCGTTCGTCTCCTTTATCACGTTTTATTGCGCCTTCTATCTTATATCGATACACATAAAACATACGTGTCGCAGCCTATTCGCGCCTTTTACCGCGCGACGCTTGTCCTGTAACGCCCGTTTCGTTCCGTTCGAACTATCCAAGCGAAGGGAGAATGAACCATCACCGCTAGGCGCGCATGTGCGCGTTAGGGCTCTAACTCTTTCGAAATCGCGGGGCATTATTCATCTCGGGAGAAGCGTCCGAATCTTTTCAACGAACCGATTTTTCTCGCGGCATTCTCCCGTTGATTCTCGCGGGGGAGAGAGACAGAGAGAGAGAGAGTGCGCGCGCGCCGTGGAAACCGAGCGCGGGCGGGGTTAATAATTAGCGATCGTTACATCACGACTTGTAATGTTATTTTTCGGAAGAAAAAAGAGAAATCCTGACCCCGATGCCGCGGGCAAAAACTCTCCGCAGACGGCTTTATTGGTGCGCGGGACTTCCCGGCAAAGTTGGCGAGAGCGAAACTTTCTTTCTCATTAAAGTCGACCCCGCGCGCGCGCGCCTCGTCGTGGCGCGTCACGGATAGGTAGAATCAGAGGTCGACGAGTGTGGCCTCTCTGGATAAATTTAAATTTTTCGATCTAACGAGCGTGGACGAATCTGTTCGCCGCGCGCATGAAAATTCGCGTGAAGTACAGCGGTCCCCCTCTCCTTCACCGCCGGCTTAATTGCATATCTCTATTTCTCTCTTTCTCTCCTTCCATCTGTCTCTCTGTCTCTGTCTGAAATTGCGGACGCTGTTGATCATGTGGGGAAATCGAGCGAGGCAAAAGTTAGAATCGTTAACGCATTCCGCCGCAAAAACGTAGGAACGCGTCCGATAATTGGTACCGTCGCCGGAACATCGTTCTGCTGCGCAGAGATGCGCTTTTGTAACATTTTGTATCGCAAACAACCGCGATGTAATACTGTGAGCTGCAGTATTTCGTCGGATCTCATTACACAAAGAGCGGCGCGAATTGCGAGAGAAACGAACGTCGCGTCATCGAGTCCACAGTGGAAGCTCGGCGACAGACGCAATTTTCGCCGTTAGCCGCGATAAAACTCATTTCGTTGCGGGTTTTTGCCATAATTAAAACTCGAGACAAGTTCTCTCGAAGAAGAGAGAGAGAGAGAGAGAGAGAGAGAGAGAGAGAAGTCGCGGTCCGCCAATTTGCCGGCGAGGAGAAGCTCGACGATCGCGTGCGCTCGAAATATCAAGAGTTTATGGTCGATGCAGGTGGTGCTCGGTGGTGGCAGGCGTCACTTCGTGCCGAAGGTGACTCTGGACCCCGAAGAGCCGGACAAGGAGGGCCGACGACTGGACGGTCGGAACCTGATCGAGGAGTGGTCGAGGAATCACCGTCTGCGGAGCATACCGGCGCGCTACGTCGCGAACAAGGAGCAATTCGAGAACGTGGATCCGCGGAAAGTGAACCGGCTGTTAGGTAAGTCATCACGATTATCGTAACGTCTCGCGTCTGAAAAACGCGAAGAAAAACGTCCGGTCGAATGTCGACGATTGTCTGGTGAGATACGGATACCAGCCCGGTCCAAGTTGTCATAATTCAGTCGAAATCGTCAAGATTTCTGCTCAACTGAAACCGAACGCTGCCGATCTTCAATCGGAATTGCTGAGTCGTTCGTATTTCACCAGAGAATTGGCTCACCAGCCAGACATTCCTCTCCGTAGTTATGTCCCATAAATTAACCATAGGAATACCGTCGCGGCTATCGCCGGCGTGTCGCCGTACTCTCCCTCTGCCTCTCCAACTCTGCCTCCCTCCCTGTCGTCTTGTAAACATACTGAAATCCCCTATTCAGGACGTCCTAACAAAGTTACATATGCGTGATTAGCCAATCACGCTGATATCGTGTACCGTTAGCGTATACCCGGTGTACACGGACTTACGACTCGCCGGTTAATTACGTGACAGGGCCGCGCGCACGGCGCTTAATCTACGCGGATCGCATCCCCCTCCGTTTGTCACTCCGTTACGTCACGCATAAGCGGTCAGTCTAATTATACTCCGGCAATTTTGTTAAATGTTCATCACGAGAATATATTCTCGCGCTCGGAACGAGCTGATTCGGATGGAACGGGGAAATTCGAAATTATATCCGCGCGCGCGTACGCTCTAGAACGGCATTTCATCCGTCGAAAATTTCTGGGCAAATTGAATTGAAAAATGGGCAGCCAGCGAATTTGCTGCGAGTTGACGGGCTACAAACTCGCGATGCATTTGTCACTCTTTCGTATTTCTGTCTGTATTTCGACGATTATTTCTTTCGCCGCGCGATTGAAAAAGAATCGTATCCAAATGTGGCAGAAAGAGAGAGAGAGAGAGAGAGAGAGAGAGAGAGGAACGTACATAACAACCCTTGATGATTATTTTAACATTAAACCGGCGAGATACGATTATTTAAATGCGATTCCTGAATAACGGCTTAATTCGCGTATAAAAAAAAAAGAACACCGTCCGTTCGTCCGTTTAAATTTGCGGTTAGATACGCACCGGGCATTACAATGGTTTACAAGAATTTAATTTCAATGGCCGCTCTCGCACATTCTAGATTTACGCGTAATACGATTGGTCGTTCTGCCGTATTAATTGCGCGCCGCTGTTAGCCCCGTAATCAGCGTATTAATTATTAGACATTCAGCGTTCGGAATATGAGATTACATCGTGTCTATTGATCGTCCACTGTTGATTCCTCCCTCTAGCTGGCTAATAAGATAGAGTATTAATTGCTGATCAGTGGAGTGAAATTCTGAGTTATCAGTTTATTGCGCCGCGCGACCGATTAGCACCGGCGAGCGATAATAGTTGGCGGGAGAGACAATGATGCGACCGCAAAAGCATTCGCGCGTTCGAAACTAATTTGAATAAGATGCAAGGAATAACAGAGAGAGAGAGAGAGAGAGAGAGAGAGAGAGAGAGAGAGAGAGATTTAATATACAGGGTGTTGAAAACAAGAGTACCGGACTTACAGGGTAGATAGAATTCATTATACTGATTGCGAATGATGAGCGTTTAGCAAACGTACGTCGGAAAGTCAACCCTTTCAGAGTTATAAAAGTTTCTCAACGTAAGGAATAAGAGAGAGAGGGAGAGAGAGAGAAAGAGAGAGAGAGAGAGAGAGATTTAATATACAGAGTGTTCAAAACAAGAGTACCGGACTTACAGAGTAGATGAAATTCATTATACTGATTGCGAATGATGAGCGTTTAGTAAAGGTACGTCGGAAAATCAACCCTTTCAGAATTATAAAAGTTTCTCAATCTTGGTAACGAGCAATTTTTCCATTTATGTTTGCTAAGCACTTTTCACTTGGCACAATGAGTAACTTTTGAACACTGTGTGTACATTATACACGAAGTATTGGGTGAGTGCAAATTCTGACATTCTGGTGGATTCCCTGATAGAAAAATGGACCAAGTAATTTTACTAAAAACTATTTATTCTCTCATTTTATCAAGTAATCGCGCCGTTGTTTTCTGTCTCTTTGATAAATGCCGTAACTTTTGCTGTCAAAAGTGAATCGATCCGCGCTTTGAAAGCGACTCGTCGAAACTTTTGCATTCACCAATATTACATATTACTAATAGATGTCGAAACGACAATTGCAACAAGTGACGAGATTACGAGATAGCGAGTTCGTATCGCGGGAGCGTTTCTCTGTCCCTCGATTTGCACACGGCCAATTAATTTTGCTCATCTTCTCTCTCCGTCGAAGTGATCAGGACGAGCGATTCGACGAGTGAATTTCGCGATTACACACGCTTCCTTCCTCCCCCCTCCCCTTCCCCCCCCTCCCGTGTGTCCACCGTTCCTCGCATCTTATTTCTCGATTTCACGCTTCCTTGATCCTCTCCTGCCGCTTGTTTGTTCACCGCTCATTTCGCTCACACGGTTATGGAGCCGCTTGCCGTGTAACGCGATTCAATTATCTGGCGGAACTTACTTTCGTCGCTGCAGGTCTCTTCGCCTATTCTCACATGGACTTCGACGTCGACCGGAACACAAACGACACCGGCGATCCCTCGCTGGCGGAGATGACGATTAAGGCGCTTCGGATACTGGCGAAGAATCCCGAGGGATACTTCCTCTTCGTGGAAGGTAAGTCGGAAGTTACGACGCTTGGGAAAGAGCCACTTACAACTTTGTGGCAGAGCGAGAGTAGTCCGGCCGCGCGAGATACATCTCCGGCGAGACGTCAACACTCGCGTTGCCGGTTTAAAACATTTAGGATACTCCGGCAAACGAGAATTGGTGTGTGTCTCCGTGCGCGCTCCGTACCGCGACCGTACATTCACGGCTGACGGTTTACAAATATATATATAAATCCGCGGCTCACCGGAGCAAGTTTTCGGCGAGGATAATATCGCGCTGAAGTTTGAGGGAGGGAGGGAGAGAGAGAGAGAGAGAGAGAGAGAGAGAGAGAGAGAGAGAGAGAGAGAGAGAGGTCTTGGAAATCTGTTTTTCCCTGCCGAGGCGATCATATCGCACGAAACTCAATGCGCGAGGAAGCCCGCTCGCTTTTTTCTCTTTTTTCTTATTATCGCACGGCACTCAGATATTTCTTCGTGTTTTAATCTCGTTGATAGAGTACGTCGAAAGAGAGAGAGAGAGAGAGAGAGAGAGCGAAATAAAACGTCCCTTCTCCCCCCTCCCCCCGCGCTCACCCTCTGGTCACGGTCGCAGCATACATTTGCGAGGATGCACTAAGCTTAAGTAATAGTTCGCAAAATTGTTAGTAGTCACTTTTTACATTACCCCGCGGAACGGATGGATTACTTTCGTCGAGGAACTGCCGTCGTCTCGGCAAACTGCTGGAGATTGAATGCTTCTGAGTCTTTATAGCAGTTAGCCGTTCTCCCGAAGTGCGGTTGCGGTTTCCGACGTATTTGTGTGTATGCATGTGGGTGTGGGTGTGCGTGCGTGCGCGCGCATTTCGGAAAGTTGCCTGCCACATCTAGGATTCTGCGCGCATAACACGGTGGGCTCTGACGAACCGTATTTCTTACAAATCAATGACCGTCAAAGGACGTGCCCTCGCATATCGCCGGTGCTTCCGGGGTTTTGTCGAGTCTGCCGGAAAATTTGCCTCCTCGACATATCTGCTTTCACCTGTCCGCGACGAATGGTATCTCTCAATTTCGCCAATTGCCTTTGTTCGTCGCAGAGAGACGCGATGCTTCCCGTTGTTACGATCGAAGCGCGTCGCGTTCGAAGCGACTAACGTCGATTGAGCCGATTTCCTGGCGAGGTATAAACGTTTCGAGAGTGCCGGTTGAAAAGGGTCGGGATTTCCTTCAAGTTAAGCAGGAGTCTGGACAATTTAGGCTGAATTCTGACAACTTGAAGCGGAATTCCTGTATCTATATATTTCAGCGGGAAATCATTTTATTCGAGCAAACATTTCCTCCGTGTAGATTAATCCCCGACGATATTTGCAGGATTAACGTAGAGCGGCGCAAAGTTTCGAGGCGGGGTGTGTACCGTAGGAAAAAGTCGAGAGAGACGCGCGTGTAAGCCCGGAAAAACTAATCAGTTTCCAATCTGCGCGAATAAAAATAAACACTTTATTCCGGATGAATAATAATGATGGATAGCCGCGTAACGCTGGGATATCAAAATTTATAATGACTCTAGCCACGGCGCAGATTGTTCTATCGATCTATCATCGCGCCGCGAAACGGTGCACGCGTAAATACGTCGAAATGATGGGGCGGCGGGGGGAGTGGCGGGGGGGGGGGTGGGGAAGGAGTGAAAGGGAGAGGGAAAAAATAAACGACACGCCGGAGAAAAAAAAAGCATTTGCAATTCAATGGAGCTATCCGATGTGCGAAAGCGGACGCGCCTTTATACCGCGCACTCGCGACCGGATTTCAGTTTAGTCAGCGATGCAATAAAGCGCGATTATGAACTGCGAGCGTGCATTATGATAAATCATTCTCCATGCATTCCGGTTATTTGATTTCGCAAATTGAGGCCGCGTGCGCGCGCGCACTCGCGATCAGCGAGTTGTTCCGGTGATTTGGAAAAACCATCCACGTCAAAGGTGACAAATAACGGACGATTTATAGCGGAGGTAAATCATTAAACGGCCTCCCGACAGACGGTGGCCGCACAGTGCTCTTTTTTTTGCACCGAATGCACCCGGAAATATCACCATTGTTCCATCCACGTATATTCTTTTTGCTCAAGCGCGCGGAGCGAGAATTATGAAAATACTTGAAGCGCCATCGTATTGTATCTTGGGGTGGATTAAAATTTTCAATTTTCCTGCGCTTTCGCACTTGACTCTCTCTCTCTCTCTCTCTCTCTCTCTCTCTCTCTCTCGTAAACGCGTGATTCTACGGACGTCCGTTTGAACTCTGACCGGACAAAATATGACCCGCCCGGAGTTTCCCCGGTAAAACGCTCGTCCTACAGAAAAGCGTCGCTCGATCTTGCCTTACTTAAACTGACAACGGCCCTCGCAAATTCGGCTTCTTCTTCCGGGCGAGATCGCATGATGCACGAGTGAAATATTAAAGCAGAAATACGACGGCTATAAGGCCCCTCGATGGAGCGTCGCTTTTGTGAATCGGGAAAAGCTTCTTTCCCGTGCGAAGATTGAGTCAGCTTTCTGTGCTCTACCGAGTTTATCGTTCTCTCGCCGAGTAACCGGGCGTACCGTCGTTTGACGCCTCGCCACCGCCAAGCGCGCACTCGTGACCGCCTAAATTGACGTACAGTCAACGGCGATTTTTATAAACGCGACACATTTTTTCCACATTTTTCGCCGATCCGAGCGTATTCTTATCGAGAAATTGAGCTCGCTCGTGTCCTCTCTCCTCTCTCTCTCTCTCTCTCTCTCTCTCTCTCTCTCTCTCTCTCTCTCTCTCTTTTTCATGCGCGCGTGCGTATGCACATATAAACGAGTTCGGGAACTTGGCGGTGCCGCTGCCTGAGCGAAATGACCGGCAGCACGCGGACGCGTTGCACTCGCGGATTGCGACAATTTGATTAAGTCATTCTGATAAGATATAGCACGCGAGAGTGTGCTACCGTTGTTCGAGAAAAACGGACGCTAGCTAGAACGAGTGTTGGCGGTACTTGCGTGTCCCGCGGGGCTCGCCGTGCCGGCGAGCCGTATCGCGGCGACCGTGCCGAAAAGAAATGCATCATTCGCCGTTGAGAAAATGCGCGAGAGTAGAAAAATAGGTTTCAGATAAATGGAAATCGCGCGTCGCGTGCGTTAGCCCCATACCCGTTAGTTGTCGTAAATATGAAATGGCGCTTAAAACCGTTAAAAGTGGGTTCTCGCTCCGGGGAAAGAATGGAGTTGCGTGACTGATATTTCGATAGAAATTGATGCGGAGGATATATTATTTATCTTACGTTCAATATAGAATGATGCGAAATAACATCCGATACAAGTAATAATACATTAACCATCCGAATGTTATTTCTCATAATGTATGCGCAACGTATGCGCGCTGAATTATACAGGCGCGCACACGATGTCTATCGGGGAATCCAATTTATTTTGTTGCAAAATTTATACGAGCTCAATGGTCGTACATTAAGTTTAACAACGCGTCGGATTTAAAGATACCCGGGGAGTGGCACGAAAGAGTTAATACGTGAGAACGAAACGATAAATAAGGAAAATTTGCATAATTGGCTTTTTATCGGAAACAATTTTCTTCGATGTTATTAAAAAGCTCGTTAGAGTCGTTGGGCTCGTCGGGAGCCAGGAAGAAAGAAAGAGAGACAGAGAGCGAGAGCGGGAGAGAAAAATAATTTTGCACGAGAAACCACCGTAGGTGTGTATTTTCCCGAAATGAATTCTGACGACGATGTGCTCTCTTTGTATGTATACATTTACTTTACTCATCAGCCCCGCGTAGTCGTTACGTTATCGGGTTTTCGCGCGGTATTTGCTTGCAGAAGACGCTCCGAAAATATTTGTCAAGTTTGACGAATACATCATATCGTTTACCCGTTGGAGGATGTTGTCGCAAATGCATCCTGGTATAAGCGCTAAAGCACAGGTCGGACATGCGTCAAGACAGGCGTATGTCGCTCGCGTTAAAGCGCACGGTTGAGTTAGAGATCACCGCGTTACCGGGGAAACTTCATCAGAGGGATTGTCCTCGCGACACGGTCGCGTTTCCTCATTGCACGCAATCAGCATCGGGATCTCGATGCTGCGACCAAAGTTTCGCGCTACGCGCAACTGTTGCTCCGAGCTGCAGCTAGTCCGGAAAGTTTATTGCACGCTAATACATCTCGATGCGATTTATCGCGCATGAATCATCGAGAGCACCGCGAGCATCCTTTTGACCGCAAGCGCGTTAACCCAGTTTACCGATTCACGCGCAAAATTTTCACACTCGAACGCGGTTTCCAGCATGCTCGGTGCCAATCTGTGGTAAAATTATATGCATCTGCTCACGCGTAGCTGCGAGGAATTCGCTGCAATTTATTCCTCTTACGAAGGCAAATGTACTTTTTGATATTTTTCACACGAGACGCGCGAGAGATCCGGGCGAAGAAGGAATTGAAATATATATGAAATTTTAACTTAGAAATATATATACAGGGCGTGTATGTGTGACGATACGACGGAGCTTTCGTGTACGTATAGATTAGGTGAAACCGAGTAAAAAAGTTTGCGAATAATCACGTAAAATTTCGAGTTATTAATTAAAGAATATTCGTGCGAGTGATCATGCACAATTATGATATATATCAGTCTTCCTTAATTAATAACTCAGACTTTTACGTTCTTTTTGCAAGATGATATAGAATTTTCTCGTGCACTTTTTAACCTAATTTATTTAATTTATTCAATTTATTTTACCTGAAGCACACGACGGTAAACGCTCATCGCCACCAGGTCATTTAACATATCACGCAAGTTCATTCGCTAATTTTCCTTAATTAATAGTTCAGAATTTTACGTAGTTATTTGCAAAGAGTGGAAGAGTGGAAGAACTTTTTGCTCAGTTTGACCGAATCTACGCGTATAGGAGAGCTTTACGTGTCGTCGTCTCAGGCATCCTGCATCTTCTTTGAGAGGAAGGAAAAATAAATACTTAAATAGAAGAAAACTGAGTAAATAA